TGAAAGGTTGAACTTCATTTCTGTCAGTCGCGAGGTGCCCAAACGATCAGTGTAAGTTTGAAACAGGAGTGCCTCTTTGCCCGAATGATTATCAACAAGAGCTCCATCATCTTTTCTGAAGCTGGTGATGTTACGGCGATATCTTTCAGTGGCAACTGCCTGGAAGAATTTCGTATTTTCATCGCCGAACTTGATCCACCGAATGGTGCAGCGCTTTTTCCAGGATTGATTTTGGTAGTTAAGAAGGCGCAGCAGGTGCCAAATCGTCAGCGAGCAGATTACCTGTGCGTGCAGTCGAAGTGGACGCAGGTTCAGGAGCTGCATTGAGGATTTCAGTAAGTTCAGTAGCAGGGACAACACATCGATTGCTTCCAATCTCCTAAAGGACATGCACTGGGGTGGGTGGTGCATCATCAGAATGCGTCTCTTGGGCGGAGGAGGAAGAGCCAATCGAAGGCATCAGCCGTGGCATCACCCGAGAGATGGTAGGGCGAGCATCAGTCACTTGGTTGATGTTGAAGCCATTGTATTTATTGGACCGGTTGCTACGACGGACTTTAGCAGTGGAAATGTGAGCAGGAGCACGAGCATGACGGCCACGAGTCACCACAGGGCCAGCAGGTTCAATGATGGAGCTAACTGCAGCGAGACCAAGCGTGCCCTGGGCAATCCTGGGGTTGCGATCAGTCGACCGAGGTGGACTAAAACTGGTGTGCCCGAGAGGCTGAGCAGCTAGCAGAGATGTAGCTTCGGTTGGAGCAGGCTCAGGAGAATTTTGCTGCGCTGGCAAAGATAACTGCTGATGATTGTTAAAGATTTCTTCTAGCACTACTGAAGAAGCTGGAGGGAGAGGCAGCTGAGCAAGAGTGATGCCATTGTCAACAGCAGAGACCAAGACAGAAACCTCCAAGTTGGGGGATCGCATACCGTAACCATTGCTCCAAGGTCCAATTGTGGCGATTGTTGGGCGTAGGGCATGGAAGATGAAGGTGTTGAGTTGCTGCCTGGGTATCGGATCCGACAGGAGGAGGTTGATCAGTTCAGAGCCTTGTGCAGACAGGCCGAATTGTATGCCCTGGTTATGCAGACTGACAGAAACTGTGACTGAATCGTGTGCTTCAGATTGTTGGGTGGTAGGTGCAGCGACAGGTAGCAGAAGCAGAGCATCTCCAACAGAAACAGAGCTATCATCATCAGAAGAAAAGGTATCTTCCATAGCATTATCAGAAATGTTGTCTTCTGGGACAAGACCATGCTGCACTGTTAGACCTTGAGCAACCAACCAGGCTTGGTAATTGACCAGGTGTGGGGGGAGGGGCGGCAATGGAGGAGCCGGAGGAATTGGCCATGCCCCCCCCAACCAGCATTGTTCTGGTGAGGCCCATTGCCATGGTTCGCGTTGTCAGCAGGAGGAGCACCGTTCTGAACCAACCAGTTATGGACCTGCTGTTGGTAGAGCTGCTCAGCGGTCAGTTCAGGTCCAAACTGCGGATGTGGATTGCTGTCAGGTGGGGGTGGTTCTTCGCCAGCAGGGAGAACCTCAGGCAGCAGGCCATTCCAATAGTTGCTCCTCAAGATGGTGATCTGCACGGTCCAGCAATCCCTCGCACCACCCAATTGCTAGACTACAAAACTCTTTGAAATCAGGCGAAGGCGTAGAAAGTGGGCCTTGAGCAAGATGAACCTCCTGTCCTGCCTTGGATTATACCAGCTGACGAGAGAGCCGTAGCCACCCAGGGCTTTGGTGATGTAGTAGTTTGTTTGGTAATCGTAGGGAAATCCGAAAAACATGAGCCAGACCTCGGGGCCAAAAGAGGTGGTGCGACGATTGAGGGCTTCATTGTGCGGCACAAAAGTGATTAGGAGATCCTCATCTTCAAGCTCAAGAGGGGTATTAACCGCAGCGTCCCTCATGAATGAATCCACAAATCCGAATATGCCAATGCCGAAAGGATGATCGCTAGATTCAGTGGTAAAAAGTTGGGACTCATGAAGCAGACCTTGAACCATGGTGCGGATGGCCGCGTGGAGATGCAGGGGGGCATAGTGGCTGGCTTCTGCGACGACGAGGAAGTCGTGGTTGAGCGGCGGAATGGGTCCGACGACCATGCCGCTGCGCACAAGACGATCTGCCGGACCGGGCTCGACGGCGAAGCCCGGTGGGAGGAACGGCACTGGGTTGAGCGGGTAGTTCGCCATGATCGGGGCGACGACGGAGGGCAGTGGTGGTGGCTGGTGAAGTGACGTGACTAGTCTATCTCTTCTTTTAGTTACGAGATATGATCTTGGAGGACAAGTCTAGGTTGATTTGTACTGTGTATATATGTCCCCAACATACATGAATACGATGGGCTGTATATTCTCCAAATCTTCCCAGTCCACATGGTATCCTCAACCATGTCACCACCACCCTTGATTTCGTCAAGTTGAATTTCTCCATTTGTTAGACCTTCAACCTCACCTAACGCAAGCTTGGCCTCACCAACCATGTCAACGGCTCCGTTGATGGCGCCATGATGCTCGGTGACGTTAAGTGGACTTAGATCGACTGCTGACACAGCCGAGCACGTGTGAACCGCCATCACCTCCCTCTTCCTCGACAATCACCTCCAACGCTCCGTCTTCACTAAACGAGAGTTCCACAATCTCGTCGAAGGTGATTTGTTCATCACCGCATTCTCCGGTCGTTTCAAGTGTCTTGCTGAGACACTGCGTGATTCGGGCTCTCCCGTTGTCGACCAGGACATGCTGCTCGCCTTCATCAATGGGCTCAATGGCAACTTCGACCACTATCAACTTGACCAACCTCACCTTTGCTTGTGCCCGCGGCACCCTACTCTAGTAAGAACCTCGCCTCGCCCATGGCGCTCACCATGTGTAGTGGCCCTTGTCGCTAATCGCTCTTGCCACGTGCCCATTGCTTCGCCTGCTTCCTATCCCGTCGCGCCTTCCTCTTGTGATTGCGGCAAGTGAGGGAAGAAGAAACCATCCCAAACTACGTTCAGCTCCAACCGAGCCGCTCCAACGCCAGCGTGGATCACCGATACCTACCCACCATCTGACATGTTCCAGGCATGGCCACCCAACAGGCACGTACCAGGTGCCGTTCTACTCGGGCCTTGTCCCGGCTTCTCTTTGCCACATGGCCATGACACGCAGCTAGGACAGCAGGGCTTTGCCTTCGCTCCTCCCTACTAGGGTTACGGTCCTTCACCACCACAAGCCCAACAAACGGCATGGGACCAGACACAATTTCACGCCGCCCTCAACAACCTCTCCCTTCAAGGCGGCGGGTCCAACTGGTCCCTTGGCACCTCGCATATGGCAAACAACCTCGGTATCCTCTCTCACTCCACACTCTTTTCCACCCCTAGCTTCATCGTTGCTAATGCCGACTCCCTTCTGATCACCCATACCGGTACCACCTCCCTTCCCATTTGTTCTTTTCTACTTCACCTTCACAATGTCGTCATCACTCATAATCTTATTAAAAGTTGATTTTTGTTTGTTACTTCACTCCTCAGAATCCTGCCACCGTTAAAATTTGACAAATATGTTTTTTCTATTATGGACTTGCATACACGATCAGTGATTCTCCGATGTGATTGCCTGGACGAACTTTATGCCCTCGTGTACGGGCCTTAGTCTCTTCTTGCTAGCACCTCCGAGCTTTGACTTCAACGACTTGGGCATCCAGGACATGACGCCCTCTCAAAAACGATTTGTCTTTCGAGTTCTCTTATAATAAGATCCCGTCTATGAGATGTCATGCTTGTAGATTGGGGAAGCACGTTCATTCACCCTTTAAACAATCAGATTCTCAAGCTAGTTTTCCCTCTGCTCTTATGTGCTGTGTGATGTATGGACTTCACTTATAAAGAGTGTTCTCGGTTTCCAATATTTTTTTCTCAAGAAAACGCAAAAGAATTTGTGTTTCATTTCATTGAACAGGAAGACATCAGGGGTACAACCTCCAGAAAGGAGGGACATGCAGTGAATTCGCCTGCTGGGTCGGCTGTTTCGGCTGTCATCACAGTGAATTTGCTTGCCCCGCAGCGGATTCCCCTGTCCCGCCCACTGGTTGGCCGCTTCGCCCAACTCGGCTGCCATGGCAGCAACCGACCCTGGCTTGGGCAGCAGCGCCTCTGCGCCAACCACGACAACCTCCAGCTCTGCTGTCAAGCTCGTTGCCTCGTCACCTTCGCCGTCTGCACCCCCCATGCTGATTGCACCGACGCGTGATCTGGGGTTGTGGTCCTTCGACGTGTTCGTGCACACCATAGCCATGCGTGCTCGTCATGGGGTTATTTAGCCGAACTGCCGCCGCCACCGATGAAGCCTCTTATCTCCCTGTCTCTGCTACCCTCCCCTGCTCGTGCTGCAATCCGCAACCCCACATGGTGTGCTGCGATACATGATGAGTTCAATGCATTGCAGGCTAACTGCACATAGATACTCGTGCCTCGTCCTTGTGGCGCCAACATCGCCACCGGCAAGTGGGTATATCTGCACAAGCTTAATAGATGGCTCTTTGGATTGCTACAAAGCTCACAGGGTTGTATGTGGCTTCACACAACATGCTGGTGTGGACTTTGGTGAGACCTTCGGTCCCGTGTGCGTCTTGCCATTGGCCGGTATACCAGCTTGACGTCTCCAGTGCCTTTCTGAACCGGGTACAAGCTTAAACCCAAGGCCTCGGCTGCCTCTGGAGATCTCTTGTCTGATGCTACCTTCTACCAAAGTATTGCAAGAGCTCTTCAATACCTCACCTTGACACGACGGGACATTGCATATGTTGTTCAGAAAATTTGTTTGCACATGCATGCTCCACGAGATGCTCACTGGGGGGTGATCAAGAGATTGCTTCGCAATCTTCGTAGCACTACATCTCATGTCTTCAGCTTACTGGTAGCTCCTCCACCGCCATTGCCGCCTAGCGCGGTGCTGATCGGGCCGGCTGCCCGGATACTCGCCACTCTACATCTTTTTTTTTTGCGTCTATGTCAGCGACTCTTTGGTGTCATGGTCCTCCAAATGACAACCCATGGTTTAACATTCTAGTGCCGAAGAAGAATATCGAGCGGTCCCCAATGCCATGGCGGAGTGTTGTTGGCTTTGTCAACTACTTGGTGAGCTCCACTGCACCATCGACAAGGCCTCCGTGATGTTTTGTGACAGTGTCTATGCTGTCTACTTGTCAGCTAACCCAATTCATCATCGCCGCACAAGCATGTTGAGTTGGATATCCATTTGTCCGCGAAAAGGTGCCCCTTGGACAATTTCACGTTGTTCATGTTCCGACCACTCACATGCGATCACGTAGGATCGTTTCCTTCCTAACTCTCCTGGTCTATCTCTTTTTTTAATTGCGAGATATGAACTTGGAGGACAAATCTAGGCCTGTCTGTACTGTGTATATATGTCCCCAACATACATGAATACGATTAGCTGCACATTCTCTAAATGTTCCGAATCTACAGCCAGCATTATGCTATATGTGTAAACCACCATATCGAGACACCAGTTGGATATAGAAAAAGTTTCACCTAGAGAACATGAGAAAATACATGCAGTGTCATATTGGTACGTGGAGTACTACTACAGCAACAGAACCTTTTGTCCCAACCAAGTTGGAGTAGGCTAGAGATGAAACCTAACAGAAACCTGTGAGAACCCAGAAGAGAAAAGAGAAAGTACAAGTAAACAAAGTAAATGTACCGTATATTGGAGGAGAAAATTGCAAGCTAGAGTTTCTTTTTCTCTGGCGGTAGTAATGTGATCAGAACCTGCCACCTAGCCTCATTAATCTTGTTTCAAGTGGCAGTTTCTGAGATTGCAAAGATGTTATCAGCTTTAGACTTGTATTGGCAACGCGATATCCATTAGGAGTCAAGCTGCATCTCTGCAAACTATTCTCATTCAGCTTAATTTGGAGGGTTAGGTTGAAATCGTGCTGCTCGAAGGCTTAGCACATCACTGTTGGAATATTTTATTAGAATCTTTAGGTTCAACTTGTACTTTATTGAGCTTTATGATTCCCCTTGTATTAAGGATTTCCTAAGTCCTAACTAGATGCTATGCCTTCTAATTTTTTTTTCTGTTGATATATTCATTATGGTTGGGAAATGTAGTTAAATGCTGCTCCCATTTTTCCTGCTTACTTTGTAGGAAGGATTTGCATTCTCACACTGCACAACATGCAAAGCTCAGTTCCATCTTCGAGTGGAAACTCTGGAAGATAACTCATGGCGCAAAATAAAGTTCCGGCTCTTCGTGGCAAGAGATGTTATACTTGGTTTTCTTGCAGTTCAAATTGTAAGCTCTAAGACTTGAAAATATTTCTTTTTTAATGCCTTTTCTTCACTAAATGAAATCCAATATCTTTGTTTCTAAAGATGCTCTTATTTAGTACTGTTGCACAACTGGGAATACTTATACATAATAAGTCTGTACAATATAATTCAGAAAATGCCCCCCTGAGGCATTCAGAGTTACATTTTCCTACTTCAGTTAAACTATGAAAACACCAATCTATTGAATCTGGAATAGTAGTTGCATTATTCAAAATTTGCATATTTAGATCTTGAGTAAATTTGACGGAACTGCAGGTTTCATGTACAAATGATCACGAAATACAAGTTGATACCACATGTTTAATGTACAAACTAACACAAAATACAAATTATTTTTTTGAACGGAATGATTCTTATCATTGGCATTTCGCTCTCCAAGCAATGCCAATGCACTTTTTATTTTCAGAATACACATACTGATGTACTATTAAAATATTAGGGCATTTTTTCAGTACAAATTCAGGCAGGGGAAATAATTATTTGCATATATTTTCATTTTCTGCAGACTATTGCTATCATTAGTGCAATTGCATACTTTCTAGACAGGGACGGAAGTTTCCGGAATAGTTTCAGTGATGGTTGGGATCGTATCTTGTCAAAGCATCCAATACCGTTCTACTACTGCATAGGTATTGGAATAACACCTTTCTGTCATAATGATGCATATGTACCATTTATATTAGTCAGCAAAACTTTTGGTTACAGCAACATAAAACTGCTGTTATTGAATTAACCTAACGTTTTATCTGTTGATGTTCAAGGGGTTGTGGTTTTCTTTGTGCTGCTTGGATTTTTCGGGTTGATAGTGCACTGCTCGTCCTTGAACGACAACCAAGATCCGTGCTTAGTTGGGTGCCGGAACTGCTGCTATGGTTGGGGCATCCTGGACTGTCTCCCTGCTTCTTTGGAGGCCTGCTTTGCCCTGGTGGTGCTCTTCATCGTCGTGTTCGCTATCCTTGGGATTGCATACGGTTTCCTCGCGGCGACTATGGCCGTCCAGAGGATCTGGCAGAGACATTATCACATCCTGACCAAAAGAGAGCTCACAAAGGCAAGAGGCCGCCTCACATTGGTCGAGCTATTTCCCGGGGCAGCATCATTCTTTCAGATTATGAATTCGTTTCATTCTTTTTCGCATGCAGGAATACGTAGTGGAAGATCTGCACGGCAGCTACTCGGCCCCGAAGCTTGAGCCAGAGCATGAGGAGCGGCTGAAAATACTGAAGCTACTGTAGATGGCCCATCCGCATCAAGACCACTGTAAATCCCGCCTGTATTGCTGTGGGCCGAAAGAGTGTTGGTG